CACCTAAGGCATTAAGTATGTTTCTAGTAGCAGAATTACAATTTTGAAGGACACACTGCCTGAGTAGGACCCTGCACACATATTTCGGCACGCCAACTTTTTCAATTGCAGCAGCAGCTTTATCAATAAAAGCACCAAATGCTTCCTCTCTGCCTTGCTTAATTCCTATAGACACTGGTATCCCTCCTGGCTCCTTTACCATGTCTATTGCGAGTCTGACTAACCTCATTGCCTCCCGGCACTTTTCCTGACCTAATAAAGCTTGTGCTTCAGTACGAAGAAAACGTCCCAGACCCATAAGTTCATCAACAGTGACGCCATGCAGGGGGTCACCCGGCTGCCTTTGAACTGCCACACACTCACTGACAAGTATCCGCCAATGATCATTAAACAGCAATTGTTGATGGTGGGTAAAGATTAATTTAACTATGCCAAGACAATCATTAACGAGGAGGATACTGGTGTTAAAAATATAATCGAGCATTTACTTAGCTGGTTCGCTTTTAAATCCAAACTGACTAACAGCAGCTTGCAATTGAGATAACAGTTTCCAGTCAAGAGCACTAATTGTGGCTTGAATTCCTCCACCAGCCTGAGGGTTAAAGACAACTAGAGAAGCCAGTTCCCGAGCCGAACTTATCAGCTCCTGATCTCCCTTTTCAATTGCATCTTTGGCCAGGGCACTCCACGCATCTCTTTCCCTTGCAATTGCCTCCACCAAGTCGTTTTCCGACCCAGGGACCGGCTGATTGCTTGTCGGGAAAGGAGTCTGCGTATTTGGCCCCAGCTGCTGAGATACAGCAGACACAGGAGAGTCAAGAGTGCTCTGTGTAGCCTGCGGTAAAGCGGACAATAAAGCACCCTGCGGAGCTTGGCTTGTTAGGGCAGCCTGCGGAGCTTGGCTCGTTAAGGGGGGCTGCACGGCGGGTAGTGAGGCGGTCTGTGCCTGACTCGTAGTGTGACTCGTAGGCTGACTCATAGCCTGGCTTGTAGCCTGGCTTGTAGCCGGGCTCGCAAGCTGGCTCGTAGCCTGGCTCGCCGAGGGAGGTGGTGAAGCAGGCAATAAAACCGTCCTCATCGCGGGGCCGAGAGGAGTTCCCGCGTTCTTATCAAATTCCCTATCTTGATCGCATTCTTTGTTACGATCGTGAGCGGCAGTAGCCTGGTGAGCAGCCCTTTTTTCAGCTTGAAATTGTAAGAGCTCGGTGTTAATGACCCGCCATAATTTGCCCCACTTCTTAGCAGTTTTATCATCATCTAACGTAGCCTGCCACAATAAATCACCAAATTTATGCCACTCCGACAATTCGTGAACTGTATGAGGATTCACAAAGACTCCCCTGTCTAAACCATATGCCAAGAGACCTGGTAATTCTTTCTGTAAATCTATTCCCTTAATTTGCCTTTTTTGCAAAAAGGTAATAAAAAGTTCATATGCAGCTTGCCTTTCCATACCTATGTAAATGTGCGCGCTTTGCAGCTCTTCAAGGTCGCGGCCACATGTGTCGGACGAGCCCGCCTATACAGTCGCTCGCAGCACGGCACAGACCGGCGGGTTGCCCTCCGCTTTTTCTTCCGCGCTTCTTTTGCCGTTCCGGCTGCAGTTTCGATCTTCGGAACCCGAACCTGGCTTCACTTCCCCGTGGCATTCGCTTCCCCGTGGTGTTCGCTATCACGGTCGGAGGTCACCATATATTGAAGTGAAGGGAGAACGACCATCCTGGTAATGCATCGAACTCCAATTTTATTGATCAATCAATCACCTTAAATAACAGTGCTAACGAACTCCATGAATATTCTGTAACCCAGATTCATGATAGGCTAACAGAGAAACTTCTAACCACTCCTCTTGTTTTAGAATACCTACAGTTGTTTATTAAAAACAGAACCAGTGTTCCCAAAACTTCTACATCTGTTCTCAGGGTGCCAGGTTTTCCCAGAGACGGTGTTCTGCTTGTTATGGGAAGACTGTCTGAGAACTTTATTGTTTATAAAGAGAGTCTAATTGTTTATAGAAATCAGAAGGCTGAGAACTGCTTTACTTTTCCCTTATACTTTTCTCTCAATTGTATGTCTCATGGCCTTTTCTTTAAGTCATTCTCTGACACCCAGGTACTGGGTTTTTTTGCCAGAAACTCCTGGAAGAAATAATCTTCCCAGCTGCAGCATAGAGCACATCACATCTTGTCCTGTCCCAAATTGCCAAGGGCCACTGCTTGAACAGTCTTTTGTTTCATTTGTTCAAAAGCCTTTTGTTGTTCAGGACTGCACTTAAAATCATTCTTCTTCCGAGTCATATAATAGAGAGAACTTTTGCTTTGACTGTGTTCTGGAATATGCATCTTCCAAAAACCCACACTGCCTAGGAAAGCCTGTGCTTCCTTGCTGTTGGTTGGTGAGAATGTAGCTGCTGTTTTGTTGACCACATCCATGGCAATCTGATGATGTCCATTTTGCCATTTTATTCCTAAAATCTGAGTTTCCTGGGCAGGTCCCTTGACCTTACTTTGCTTTATGACAAAACTGGCCTCCAAGATGATTTGGGTTATCTTCTCCCCTCTCTCAAAAATGTCTGCTGCGTTGCACCACAAGCTGATGTAATCAATGTATTCCAAGTGTTCTGGAGCTTCACCCTTTTCCAGTGCAACCTTGCTTTCTTATAGATGCTTTTCTATGCCATGCTCTGCCAGTATGCGACTGTTGCATACTGACAGAGCATGGGATAGCTCCTTTCTAACTTGCTTGAGCTTGATCTGTCTGCAGTCTTGGACAGCCAAGGCATAGGTCATTAGGGAGGGAAAAAGATGATCTTCATATTGTTGTAGTCAGATATATGTCTGAAGCATTGTTTGTTCTCCTTTCATTGACATCAGTCCCAATGAGTTGGCACACAATGATGGCACATGCTGTACAAATTTCTCCCATGTGGATTGTGTACAATGGACCTCATCTGGATCTACAGAGGACTGTTTGTTATTTGAATCCCTATAGATTACCTTCAGCACGGCTAATTCTCTCATGTACTGGATACCTTTCTCCATGGTGTTCCACCTGCATGGGTGCAGTACTAGGTCATCCTTGAGAAAATACCTTTCCTTCATGCCTGGCTGGACTTGGCTCCAGAGGCTGAGAGTTTCTGTTTTCTTCCCAATCCCCTTGCTAATGCTGACATGCGAGGTCAGGGATCTCTTCACTACCATCTAGTTTCATATTACAGGCAGCAATATCCCAGCATCAGAGCAGCTAAGTCAGTAGGGGCCCACCCGACTGGTGGCTGAAATTTTTTTTGCATATCTCACAGCTCACCTGGAGATAGGGATTGGGTGATTATCTCTGGCCCTGTCTGTTCCTTGTGTTGTGAGGTCTCTCCTTCCTTTTCATCCTTCACTAAGTGAACTAATTTTGTCTTTGATTTTTTTTCTATAAAGGGGTGACTGCTACTGGCACAGGTTGTTCCTCTCGTTCAGCTGCAGTTTGAGTGGCCACAGTTCCTGTCAGTCTGCTTTTCTCCTCTTCCCCCTGAGACTGCTGTCTAGTATTGTGGAGTGTCCAATAAATAGTAGCCAAGGCCCAGCATGTTGCAAAACCTCACACCTCCCTGGAATTGCCACAGCATTTTTCTGTCAAGTATTTTGTTAATTTACCATGGTCCTGTAATTGTTCAGGAGTGAAGTTCCAAACCACTGGAGCAGAATAATCCTTCAAAAGCCGGCCCATTTTCTCCCGCTTGCCTTGTTACTCATGATTATACATCCTTCGGACAGATGTCTAAGCAAACTCCTAAGAAAACTCTGTCACTCTAAACATGGTGTAGACTGAGGAGACCTGGCAGACTTAGCACAAAGAATATGATTTCCTTAACATCCAAATGGAATTCAGAATTCTCTAAATATAACAGGCTGAAGAGGGTGTAAAAGGCCAGGAAAAGGGGATGAAAAGCTGGGGGAAATTATCCTCTCCCATTCCTGCCGCAGAGTATGTATGGTTAGTAAATATGCAAAGGTAGTGCCTGAGGTAAGAGTAGGAGAGCAACAGTCAATATATATCCCAAATGATCATCGTTGTCTTTGATGTCACCATGTCATAAACTGACATCCCTCAGTATATCAGCAAAGAAATCCTGATCCCTCTTCCTACTCTGAAAAATGTCATGAGGAACACATACAGAAATATATACAGGATTAGGTACCACTCCCACTTGAACAGATCAAGTAACATTCTGACCGGTGGCTCCATACCTAAACCAAAAATGCCTAGATCAAATTTGTTTCTGACCTGCTCTGGGCAGTCTGTTGTTATCTCAACCCATTGTGCCTCACCTCAGACAGCAAATCAAGATTGTTGTGGTTTAGGAGTCATACTCCCTAATTTAGTGTTCTCACTGACACACTCCAAATCATGCTGCTGCTCACTCACTTTTCCTTTTCCTCTGAGCCTGGTTTGAGAGGAGAATTGGAGGCACAAAAGGTAAAGATCACGGGTTGAGAACCATTTACTGGAAACAGCAACGATATTAATAGCAAAAAGTGTACAAAAGAGACAATGATGCATATGCAAAAATGCTCACCATGAAGCTCCATCTGATCGCAGCTCAACCTCTCCCTCTGTCTTAGAGGTTGTACCACCTCAACCTCTCCCTCTGTCTTAGAACTGGTGCCACCCAACCACTCCCTCCAGCTCAGAATCAGCATCATGCTTATTGGACCAGAAGGAACCCCTTCTCTTTGGAAGAGACTCCCCCCACTTTCACCAACGGCATTAAGTAGTGTAGAGTAACCTCTGGGTCCTAGCCACACCCCTCTTTGCTATTGAAACAATTAGCCTTGTCCCAGCTGCAACCAAGACACTCAGGATATTCCTCTTTTGCCAAGACACCTGGAATATTCCTCTTTTGCATCAGCAGAATCTGGGAGGGTTTAATCTTTTGAATTTAAAACAAAAGCAAAATTTGTGTATGAAAGCTAGGAGTCCTTGATAAAATGTCTTGCTTTCCCTCACAGATACTGTTCGAGAAACAACTTCAGCTCAACAAGCACTTTTGGTGGCTAAAAACATTGACTTATTTCCAACAAATCAAGAACGTTTTACTGAAGGAAATATAGATGTGTGGTGGATTGTTCATGATGGTGGTATGCTGATGTTGCTGCCTTTCCTCCTTCGACAGCACAAGGCAAGGGCAACAGAAAATGGCTGGGATTTAATTTTCGAGCACTAAATGGTTCTAAGCATGTCTAATTAAATACTCCTTCACCTTGTTCAAATTATGCATGGTAATAGCAATCACAGTGTTACAAACTGTTATGTATCTTTTTGGTAGGTTTGGAGAAAATGTAAAATGCGTATCTTCACCGTTGCTCAAATGGATGATAATAGCATTCAAATGAAGAAGGATCTTCAGATGTTCTTATACCACCTTAGACTAAATGCTCAAGTGGAAGTTGTTGAAATGGTTTGTTATTATATATTTTTAAGGTGCAACTGGGACTAAACTTGGGAAAACAGGTTTAGCTTTTTTCAAATAAAGAGCTATTAGCACAAATATAGAAATTAAAAAATTGTAGTCTCATGAAAAACAAGAAGTTAAGCATCATTATCTTACCATGTTACAATACTGCTGTATGTGGTAGTGAGTTTAATGGGTTTGTCAAGTAGAGTTTGAGATGTTTTATGTGTTAATTCTTACTTTATTTATGACTACTAGTCCATACAGCTGGTTCATTTGGAAGGAAAAGCTTGAATTTGTAGCAAGCAGTGAAATGGAAGGCTAAATGTGCTTAATCTAATAAGCTAAGACATATGGTATGAGACAGGATGGACTTGTCTATGTCTCCAACCGCTGTAAGAATACCTCTCTGGAATAAGGAATCCCTAGGCTGAAATGAGAGTTGTTCTTGGCATCTCCAGCCTCAGCCAGTACTGAAAGCAGGACCTACAGTTTCACAAGTCAAGGTAGTGACAAAATTAATTTGGTAACTTTTTTCCTTTTTAAATTATGGGTCATAAACTGTTTAGGAGAAAGGACAAAAACTATTTCTGTCTTGGCCCACTTTTTTTGGAAACTAAGGGTGTAATTTCCAGCACTAAAAGGTGACTAGCATAATGTTCAAAGTAAGACTCATGGAAAAAAAAAAAAAAACAACCAAAACTTTTACTCATTCTGAAGTGAGATGAAAATGAGTAAACTGGTTGAAAATGTCTATTTCCACTCATTTATAGAATCACCAGAACTTATTAAAAGGTTTATCATGCTAATTAATCAGAAAACAATTATAAGAATTGTTTTAATTACTTAGGAAAAAAACTGCTTGTGAAAAAATTTAGTGTTCTTTGCTTAGAGTACTAAATATGAAAGTCTCAAATGCTGTGGCATGTACAGTTGAAAGAACATAGAGTGCCATGAAATGGCTCAACCTTGGTTGAATTTTGAACAGAAGGCAATATAGAAAGTTGTGCTTGTTTAAGCTGGGGTAGAATTAATTTTCTTCATGGCGGCTGGTATGGGGCTGTGTTTTGGGTATGTGCTGAGCACAGGATTGATAATATTGGGATGTTGTTGTAATTGTGAAGCAGAGCTTGTACAAAACCAAGATCTTTTCTGGTTTTTGTACTGCCACGCCAGCAAGGAAGTTGGGGAAGTTTGGGAGGAGACACAGCTGGGACAGGTCCCAAACTGACCAAAGGGCTATTCCAGACCATATGACATCATGCTCAGTATAGAAGTTGGGGAGAAGACGGAAGAAGGAGGGTATCTTGGGAGTGATGCTGTTTGTCTTCTCAAGTAACTATTATGCATGATGGGGACCTGCCCATGCGAAGCAGTGAATTAATTCCTTGTTTTTCTTGCTTGAATGCACAATTTTTGCTTTTCCTAATTAACAGTCTTTATCTCAACCCATGAGTTCTCTAGCTTTTATCCTTCTGATTCTCTCCCAAATCCACTTGTGGGGGAGTTAGAGTCTGCATGGGCCTTGGTTGCTGGCTGGGATTAAACCACTACAGAAATACAATTTATTCTTTTCTTCTGTGGGTAATATTTAATTCTGAGAATCTTCTGGAGGATAAGAGAAATGTTACAAGTCAGTGACAATACAGGTGACTGGTATAGATTTTTATGTTGTATTTTAGTTTTCAGCCAATATGAGAATGTATGCCAGAATTTCTTGCTATGGCAAGAAATGGCTTTGTTTTTGAACATTTCTCACTGATCAAAGCATAATGTGTTATTTGTGCCTAACAGTTACAGTTACAGTTTTTAAAGAAACAAGCATCCACACATGCTCAGGTGTCAGCAATGCATACCCAGTTTAACTAAGTGCTTTCAACTCTCACTTCTGCAGCCTAGTTGGAACAGAATAGTTAGTGGAAAGTCTGTTCCAAGTACCTAAAATTTAGATAAAATCACAATAATATTGTTACAGTAGGATAGTTCACTGTATGAAATTGCTGTTTGAATAGTAAGTTTTAAGAATGAGGACAGAAGTGATTGATCAATTATATGCTTAGGATTACTCTAATGAATACATCCACCAAATGAATACAGGTATGAGAGGTACACTACCTAATGTTGTCCTTGTAAGTAGTACTTTTCTTCTGGTGTTACTAATTCCAATTTCTTTTGCAGTTTGAAAATGATATTTCTGCGTTCACATATGAGAAGACACTTATGATGGAACAGCGATCTCAGATGCTAAAACAGATGCAGCTATCAAAGAATGAAAGAGAAAGGGAGGTAGGATCTTCAGCTTGACAGGATGTTCTGTGAAAAATCTCAAAGTACAATCTAATGGCTGTAGCTTCTTATCAGTTTCTAGCTAGTCAAAAACTTTCATAACTGCATTGTGTTTCTCTACAACCAGTTTTACTTGCAAGGTTAAAGTTATGTGGGGGAAAGAAAAAAATTATTTAAACAGATTTTAAGAGTTTTCCTGTTTTTGTTGAGTGCAAGTGTTGATTAGCAAAACATTTGAACATCAGTGTGGAATACATTAAAAGCCTTTCCAAACTTGACATCAGTAGCTAAGATTCATGATTATGCAACTGGATTGATTATCTTTGATTGTGATTTGGTCTTAGGATCATAGAATCATTTACATTGAAAAAGACCTTTACGTCAAGTCTGACCACTAACCTAATGCCGCCAAATCCACCACTAAACCATGTCCCTGTTGTTTAAATACCTCCAGGGACTCAACTTCAGCCACCTCCCTGGACAGCCCATTCAAATGTTTGATAATCCTATCCATGATGAAATTTTCCCTAATGTCCAGTCTAAACATCCTCTGGTACTACTTAAGGCTATTTCCTCTTGTCACTTGTTACTGGGGAAAAGAGACCAATCCCCACCTCACTACAACTGTCTTCCATGTAGTTGAAGAGAGTGAGAAAGTCCTTCCTGAGCCTCCTTTTCTCCATTCTAGAGAACACTATGTCCTTCAGCCACTCATCATATGACTTACAAATACACCATATTACACAATATAATAGACATTTGTTCAAATCACACTATGTTTTAGTTTCTGCATTATTTTGCATGTTTTATGAATCAACTCCCTTTTTTTTAGAACCAAAATTAGCCCAACAAACTATAATCTTCTAATATGAAGATGGAAATGCTGGGTTTGCTGCTCCCTTATCCTTACTATTTTGCATATTGTAGCAACAAGCTTCATTCAGCTGTAATTTTATGAATATTTGTAACTTAAAAGTAATTTCCTTTTGGTTTGTGCTTCTACCCCCTCATCTATTCTACTAACTCTTCAATGTTATCAAGACTTTTTAGTGATGTAGAAGATAGTGAATGCTCTGGCTTTGCCATCACATAAATGATTTCCATCCCATGGCAAACAAGAGAACTCTATTGTCTTTAATTGCTCAATTGTATAACAGCTAGATTTTTTTTCTTATGGCTTGTCTTTTGTGGTGTCAACCATAGAAGTCCGAGCAGTTTGGGGTTTTTATGGTTTTTTCCTTTTATTTGTCCTCTTCTCTCTATTATTTTTTCCATCTCACATGATTTTTTAAAGGTTCCTAAAGATGCCTGCTATTGTTACAGTTTATTGCTGTAAAACGTCTTTCTTATCCATGTCATTTTCTTTCAATTTGAGCCTGCCTAACATCCTTCTAGTAAAAACCCCAAACTTTTCTGTACAACTTATTCAGCCTTATTGTTTCTTTTCTGAATAGTAGTATTTTTCCAGTGGAGTTTCAGTAGTTTATCTGTTGTAGATTTTGAAGGATTTAACTTCCACATGATTAGTGGAAGCTATTGCTCTGTATTCTATAGCACATAAATTGCAGAGAGATAAAAGAATTTCTTCTCAGCTCTGAGCTGGTGGGAATCTGGACTATACTTCAGAATATTGTTTGTTTGAAAGTTTTTATTTCTTTCTATTCCCTCCATATCATTTTCTTGCTTTATTACTCACTTTTATCTGAACTTTACCATCACCATTATAGCATCAGTTTCTTCCTTCTTATCAGGCGAGGTGAAATCTGAATATTCAAAACACCACTGAATTTATTTCAGGGTCTGAAGTAAAACCCTTGACCCTTGGTAATTCCAGGAACCTCTAGTACTTACTGCCTTGTCCAAAAATAAAAAAGTCATATCCATTGATTGTTTCTGATTAGAATATCTAAATCTACCTTGTTCTTTTGTATTTTCATAAGAAAATGTGATATATTGAAGTGACCACCAGAACCCAGACTAACTCTTAGAACTCCAGCGCAACGCCAGGAGTGGGGAACTGCCTCAGTATGGGGATTTACTAGAGGCAGAACCTTTAGAGCCACTTGCTCTAAGATGCCAGACAGAAGCCACGACAGGGACCAGGCAGAGGAGAAAGGAAAAGTATTTGCATCTTGAGGTTCCACAAGGAACAGTTTATTCCAGATGAAAAGAGCAGGACAAAAAGCCTCTACCTCTGTTGTGCCAGAGGTTTTGTTTGGATGCAAGTCAGGAGGTGGATACAAACAGCTAACTAACAGGGAATCCTCAGGGGTGGAATGAGGGGATTATATCGAGTGTCTGGGGCCAATTTGGGTAGGAGGATGGAGAGGATGGGTCACATGGGCCAATGGGGCTTCTGGTAGTAGGGGAATTCCAAGGGGGTGTTGCAGACAGGGATTGGCCCAAGGTTTAAGTGGCAGAGAAGGTTTGGGAATCAAGGGCTGGGATGCCTTGACAGGCAGCTGGAACAAGGGGTGGGGAATGGCATGAGGGACAGCTTTGAGGAAGGGTAAAACCAGGGGTAAACCAACTTGGTGAGAACATGGGGGTACAACAGAATGAACCACTTAACAAGGAATCAATAAAATAACATTGAACCACAACAGTTTATTTATGTCTTCACTTCTTGTGGAGCTACAAGATTAGTGTATGCGCTCAGAGTGCCTGACCCATTCTTACCCTGATCTTTTTTTTTTTCTTAACTAGCTGAGCCATTCTTTTAAATTTTTTGCTGATGTCCAAAACATTTCTTTTATTAGTATCACTAGTTCAAATTAGCATTGCTTTTCATTTTAATATCTGTCTCCAGGCCTTCAAATATAAGCTGGTATTCCAGTTTTGAATAGTGAGTGTAGTTTGGTTTCCTGTTACCACCAAGATTAGTACTTTAACCTCACTTTTGTGCATGTATGCCTTCAAATGAGGCTCAGACCTTCTTGAAGTGGAGACTTTGGTTTTGTACAGTGTTTGTTTGCTGTTTTAGTCATAAGCGTGCTTTTACCCCTGAGCAATCACCCTCATCCTCCTTTCTCCTGTCAACTTTTAAAAACAGAGTTGATTTGATCTTGCCTCTGGGTTTTCTTGTAGAACTGGGGATCGAGCACTCATCATATTTTTGTTCACTTTTTTTGAAAACTTGGTCAATTTTTTTCTCTTTGAGTATAAATATAATACGTACCTGCAAAGCATAACATAGGCAACTTAGGTATAACTGGTAAATATCAATTTATTTGACTTAATAGTGCTGCAAAGGGGAAGGAAAATGTAGAGCCTCATTCCCATTTTTGCTTCCATTTTTGGTTGTTGTTGGCTTCTTTCTCTGGTTAATTCTCATTAAGGACTCTTGGGCAAAGCAGTGTTAATTGGACCTGTGAGAAGGTAATAATACTTTGCACCAACAAATTGTCTTGGGTTGTGCTGTTAAGTAAGATTGGCAGAAACTTGGGTGCATGCAGGTGAGTGATGCACGGACAGATGACTCTTTAACTAATTAAAGTTTAAAAGAAGGGTATTTATTGCAGCATGCTGGACACATGTGGAATCATTTCCAAATACATGTGCAAGGAGTTGCAGATTCCTGCTCTCTGTTTTGATCTGCTGGTGATGGTCCAAGCCTCTCCTAACTATTTGATTATTCTTAAGGCAAGGTATACTTCTATGGTCTCTGCTCCTTCACAAATGCTACATCTATCCCTGTCACTACTAGCTTCTCTTTCCTAATGTATTTGTTACTTTTTAACTAAGGTACTTGATTCTTGCCACCTATATTACTAACTTAGCTTCTTAACTAATTTTAAAATCTTAACTAACATATGCAATCTTCTACTATGCCAGATATATTCCCAGGTCGCCCCTCAACTCATCTACAATGTTCAATTATCCTAAATACATTTCCAGCAGACCCCTTGACTGATTACTGTTTCACTGTTTGTGAATGATTAGATTTTTAGGTTTTTACAGTTGAAAAGTAGCTTTCTCATATGCTTTTAGTTTTTTCATGCTTTTGATTGTAATTGAGTGAAAAATTTCACCTGAATATATACATACATGAAAGTGGTCCTAAAACAAGTGAATATTTGAGCTTCCCATAGAGATGGAAGGACTAAATTGGCTTCCTGTTGTCACAAATGTCTGTAAAGGGACTTCATAACTAACCACTAAAGATTTAAAAATGTTATCCAGGAGGAGGCAATCAGAGAACTGCTGAGCCACTTGGATATTCATAAATCCATGGGACCAGATGGGATCCATCCCAGGGTGATGAGGGAGCTGGTAGATGAGCTTGCAAAGCCGCTCCATCATTTACCAGCAGTCCTGGCTCACTGGCAAGGTTCCAGATTACTGGAAGCTGGCCAATGTGACGCCCATTTATTAAAAGGGTGGGAAGGAGGAGCCTGCTAATTATAGGCTGGTTAGCCTGACCTCAGTACTCGGTAAGGTTATGGAACAGTTTATACTGAGTCTCATCACACTGAACTTACAGGACAGCCAGGGTATCAGACCCAGCCAGCATGGGTTTAGGATGGGTAGGTCATGTTTGACCAACCTGATCTCCTTTTATGACCAAGTGACCTGCCTGGTGGATGCAGGAAAGGCGGTTGATGTTGTGTAGTGCGGGGGTCAGGTATATATGGGAAAATATATGTCCAATTGTGTCAGGAACCCACGCATTACCGAGGAACCCACTTGCAGCGGCAACTACGTCCAGATATGCACAACACTGGACAAACCAGACCAGTGAAGAACATTTTTTTTATTTTCAGCACATCAGTCTCAGGACATTGTTAGACAATGGAGACAGGATGTTAACAGCTCGCTGATCCACAGGGAATGCCAAGGAGGTGGAGCATTACAGCACAGCATAAAACCATCTCAGCGTAGATTTCAGCCAATCATACCTAGAACAACACATATTGACAAGCATTCTATCCAATCTTATAAAACACACGTAATGGTAGTTAAAACAAAGACTGGTTCATAAGAGACAAAGAACAGAGCTCTATTCATGCTAACCTTCTAAAGAGATACATTAAATAACCTTGTTGCCATCCATAAGCCAATTCTACAGAGGCCTATTGTTATTTGTCACGTATGCTCTACTGTTTAGGAAACTTTTCTGCTGTATTTGCAATGCTAACAAAACTTCAGTCTAAGGCCTATACTTTTTTAACCATTTCCTAAAAACCCTCTAACTTCATGGATTCCAACATGTAGCTGGATTTCAGCAAGGCCTTTGACACTGTCTCCACAGCACACTCCTGGAAAAGCTGGCAGCCCACAGCTTGGACAGGAGCACTCTTTGCCAGGTTACACGCTGACTGGATGGCTGGGCCCAGAGGGGTGGTGAATGGTGCTGCATCCAACTGGTGACTAGTTACTAGTGGTGCCCCTCGAGGGTCTGTGCTGGGACCAGTTCTGTTCAATATCTTTATTGATTACACGGATGAGGGTATTGAGTCTTCCACTGGTAAATTTGCGGACGACACTAAGCTGAGATCGTACGTTGGCCTGTTGGAAGGTAGGAGGGCTCTGCAGAGAGACTTGGAATGGTTGAATGGATAGGCAAAGTCCAATAGGATGAAGTTTATTAAATCCAAGTGCTGAGTCCTGCATTTTGGCCCCTGTAAATAACTCCCTGCCTCCTTGTAAGCTGGGGATGATGTGGCTGGACAGTGCCCAGGTGGAAAGGGACTTAGGGGTACTGGTCAACAGCCAGCTGAACATGAGCCAGCAGTGTGCCCTGGCGGCCCAGGAGGCCAGTGGCATCCTGGCCTGTATAGTGTGGCCAGCAGGATCAGGGAGGTCAGTTTTCCCCTATACTTGGCACTAGTGAAGCCACATCTTGAGTACTATGTCCAGTTCTGGGCCCTCGGTTAAGGAAGGACATTGAGATGTTTGAGCGCATCCAGAAGAAGGCAATGAGGCTGGTGAGGATCTTGGAACATGGGCTCTATGAGGAGCAACTGAGGGAGCTGGAGTTGTTTAGCCTGAAGAAAAGGAGACTCAGAGGTGACCTTATCACTCTCAATTTCCTGAAACGTGGTTGTAGTCAGGTGGGAGTTGGTAACTTTCACCAGGCAGCAACTGACGGAACTGGAGGACACAGTCTCAAGCTGAATCAAGGGAAATTGAGATTGGATATTAGGAAAAAAGTTTTTCATAGAAAGAGTGATAAAGTTCTGGAATGGTCTGTCTGGAGAGGTGGTGGAGTCACCATCCCTGGATGTGTTTAAAAAAAGGCTGGATATGGCACTTGATGTCACGGTTTAGTTGAGGTGTTAGGGCGTGGTCAGTTGATCCTGAAGTTCTCTTCCAAGCTAGTCATTCTGTGAATTCTGTGAAAAAGAGCCTTTTGAGCTGATACCACATTTCATCTATTAAAATGAAGAATAATATGATATCTGCTTTTTTCTGTAGACTTTTTTTTGTCATTGGTAACCTTTTTGTCCCAGATTCAGAGCATCACAGATGAGTCTCAAGGCTCAATTATAAGAAATAGCTACTCCAGTCCATTGTCCATTGTCCAAGATGCTCAGGCACTGCTGACTAATGATTATCAAGAGGAAGAGGTAGCTCGACATAGTGTTGGCTATGACTAGACGTATTTTCCATTGCAACACTTCAAGTACCACTATTGCAAACTGAACTACACATTAACTACAATTTTTTCTAAATTAATTATGTTACCTTATATTTCTTGTCTTTAGATGATGCTTCTGTGACATGAACTATATTCTCTTTCTCACATTTATTTTTCATAAAAGAAACTCATTTCTGAGACTGCCTGTTTTCTTAAGAACCAGAAGCAGGGTGTTACATTAATAAACCTATTTCGTGCTTTCATTGACTTCCTTTATAGTTCCTCTGTTGAAGTACTGAAGATTCTCGGAGACTGTATTGATATACTAGATCTTTTAAGGAGTGCAAGCCATTTTTATTTGCGAGCTATTATTAACCCATATATGTCATTACTGTATTCTGTGGGTGACATTGAAAGGAAATGGACTGATGTAATCAATTAGTTTAGTGTGCACTTAAAGTGTTGCTCATACGTAAAATGTGTAGCCTAGTTTGTAGAAGTGCTGTATATCTTTGTATTTCCCTTTCATCATGGAGTGAGAGAACAAGCTGTTTGGTTTCATTAATTGAATTTAGTATCAAAATAGCGTTAACAAGAATGTGCTTTTGTTGTGTTTGCATTTTTATAAACATGTATTATAGGTCCAGAATTTCTCTTGGTCTCACGGTCTTTCCGAAAATGGCAAATTTTCTTCCATTGAAGCATAGTTGTACTGAACTCATCTTACAGTTGTTCCTTTGAAATTTTAGTACATTGGATACTGCTGCATGGTATTTATGATATTGGCATGTATTTGTTAGCTTTTTTGATTCTCATGATAAAACTGTATTCAGAGTAACTTCTGATTTGTGGTCTTGACTCATCATTTAATCATCTGTGAATGTAAGAAGACCATCATACTAAGAGATATTTATGTGAACCTCACAACTGAACTCCAGAATTTGGGAATCCTGAAGGATAGGGACTAGGAAATAATTTAGGGAATATATGGAAGCTCAAAGGCATTTAAACCCCCCTGCAATTACAGTTTGTGAACCACTAGAGGAATTGCTTTTCTGAGAATGAAAGTACAATTCTCATCTGCTTGGATTTTATTCATGGTTTTTATTGACCTGCACGAAATTCTTAATTACCAGGTATGTGGAGGGACCATGACTATGTCTAACATGTGAATAATTGAGATTCCCAAATGGAACAGGAGCTTCAACTCGATTTAAGTCTCTGAATAGCTTTGAGAACTGTTAAATATCTTAAACAAAAAGCAAACAAGCAAACAATCACAGGATAAAATAAATACCACCTCCAAAACAGAAAATTTCAAAGCACAAAAAGAATCCTGTCCCCAGTTACCAATTCACTTATAATTTTTAGAGTCTAAGGTACTGTATTTGTGTTATATTTGATGGAAACAGAGAAGCCTATGGACAAAGTATTATGAAGGAAAGGAAGTAAATAATGTGTTAGATATTTAATCTTCTTTTCCTCCAAAGAAGCAAGGAGAATGGAAAATAGAAAACACAATATTCTTCCCACATGCATATGCGCTTTTTTGTTCTTGAAATTGATTAGAGTTTCTACTGTTAAAAGGGAAGAGAAGACCCCTTCATGGCTAGATTTGTTAGATTTGTTAGGTAAAATGCTCTTGTAGGCATAAATCATCTAAATCTATAACTAGACTTCAAATCAGCCAGTCCCATACTGGCATCAGAGATTCATAGTTGTAGTTCAGCTAAAGGCATGTGAAATGGACAATGTTTACAACAATATCTGAGAAAATAATGTAGCTTGTGAACAATGATAATACTGGCTTTAAAGTTTTTCATTGGCAAAACACCCTGATGTTAATAAAGTACTCTCTGGTGGAATTCAACCTCACTTTAGTTCATTACTAAAGTAACATTCTACATAAGATATAGTCTTGCAAATATAAACAAAATATGAACATTTTTACAAGCAATTTCATTTCATGCTGAAGTTACAGTAGTCTCATATTTGTTCACAAAGTAAAGGTGCATTTTTCTTCAGCTTCTTTGGTTCTACCGCTGTAAAACTCCTTTTCGAAACTGTAATAACATGTAATTGACAAATGCTGATTTTGGCTGAATTGTGGGGTGATTATTTGTTTTGTGGCCAGGCTCAGCTGATCCATGATAAAAACACTGCCTCACGCTCTGCTCCAGCAGTTGAAGCAAGTGTGGCTGCTGCTGTACCAGAGAAAGTGCAAATGACATGGACTAAAGAAAAGTTTGTAGCGGAAAAGCATAAAAACAAGGATTCCAATGTGTCTGGCTTTAAAGATATTTTCAACATGAAGCCGTAAGTATGCATATGGTATTTGGAGCTTTTTATTTCATTGTGTGTATTTTACTGGGGGGGGGGGGGGGGGGCGTTCTAGTTTGTTGTTTTATCTGGGTTTTGCTTTTTAAGAGATTCTGTTTTATTTAAAATTTCATTAACTTAAATGGCAGCCTTATAAAAATAACATAGACTTGGGTGGAATGACTGTAAAGAGTCATTCACAAGAAAGTGAAGTTTAAATATGACAGACTTTAAGCTGTTAACTCAACTTCTGAATTGTACCAGAAAGCATATGTGTTAAAAAGCTTATTATAATTATAACTTTTTATTTCTTCATGTGGGTGAAAAATTAGTGTATATGTCCCTGTATTTTTATTGTGTTTGGTATTAGAGGGAGTTCCAAAGAAGCAGATAGAATTTCAAAACATTTAGCTTATGTTTTTGATTTTAGGTGCATGATTTTGGGTATGGGGGATGTTTTCTTGGGAAGAGATGGGAGTGGGATGTTTTTGTTTGTTTGTTTGTTTGTTTGTTTGTTTGAATGGACATTCAATGCTCATCCTGTAAATTAAAGGAATAGAAAACTTGTGTAAATATAAATGTATTGCTATATTAAGTATTTGCTGTTTAAATATTCCTTCATGTCTTTTTCTTAAATAGATAAGAGCTACTCCCTGTGTCAAACCAACGTAGTATACACAAAAACAATGTCAGAGGGAAACCAGCTTGTTTGTTTCCTCATGTTGTGATTTTAAGCATGCTCATGCATCTTTTCTTAGCTCTGCAAGAAAGCTGCACTTAGAAACATAGCTTAAATTATTTTCTACACATGACCAAACCAAAACTGTCGATGTCAAGGGAAATCTTAATATCTAAATGAAACACATCTTAAATCTAGGACTTGTAGGCAATGCAGTTAGACAGCATATTTAAAGTTAGTACCTTAAAGTCCTGAGTCTTGGATTTGCTTTGAGCTCTTTAGAAATAGCTTGCCTTCTGCACATTCCAAAAATTATTGTGCTCATGCTCTAAAGCATTGTCCTAGGCAGCATTATACTCTAATTATTAGGGGTTTTTAAAATTCATATCTTTGAAACATTTCCTATTACTACTTTAGAATTGTGCAAAACACTGATTTCAGATATTATTATTTTAAGACTATTGTATATAGTTGGGTAGAAATTACAGTTCAAACTTGGTGTGCCTGTACAGTATATTAATAATAATAATAATAATGATGATGATGATGATGATGATGATGATGATGTTGACTTTACCTGATGGCATAATTTTTTTTTCTATGCATTTGCTTCCCTTTCACATAGAGAATGGGAAAATCTGTAAGTCTAAATTTCACTTCACCTAAACAACATAGGCTGGGTTCTCTGGTTATTGTGATCTTGTACATTGTGTGCATGCTTCTAAATTGTAATTTGCAATGCACGTATTTTTTTGTTTCTTGTTTAATACACTCTGATTTAGCACATCACTGAAAAAATATCATTGTGACTTTTTAATATTCCCTTAAATATGATCAGCTTTCTATTCAAGGTAAGTCACAAAACCTGTGTTATAATTTATGTAAGAATATAAAGCTTGACAGTACTTCTCTGCACCAGCATATTTAGTGTTTTAATTAACTACATTAAAAATGAATTCTTTTTTCTGGAAAAGTAGGCTCCCATTGTTCTATAACTACTTGGACAGTAGGGAATATTTGCTCATAAAGGGAACTTTCATGTTTCATCAAAAGTCAGTTCTTGCCTGCGTTCTACCAACCCATGCATGTGTAGAAATAACATAAGTTTAGGCATACTTTGGGTACGACAACACACAAAAATGGAATACTACATCTCTTGAGTGGAACTCACTTGACTGCTCTGCTTTTTTTAAGAGTTAAGCATTTTCTTAATTTTATCTGCTTAACAAATTGAGCTTCTTATAAAAATTTTGGAAGTTTATTTTGTCTACTGTGTATGATTTCAGTTCTACCCGTGCTTGAAGGATAAGTGATGTTAGCCTCAGTTCACATTTTACACATCATGAGCCTTTATTTCAATGCTGAATTTTTGCCCACTCTGTCACAAAGTTACACCTTGCATTTTATTTTTAGTTTAACAATGTTTCAGTTTCAATATTTATGCTTCTCAGTTAGACAATCTTGCCTCTCTTCATAGTTCTCTTTAGTCTTCTCAAAATGTAATTCTGCTTCCAAAAAATGGAACTTCAAGCTTTCCTTTGTTCCATATATAGTTTTTGTACACTTGGTTCTTAGGATAGCTGGCCACCATGATAGAAAATCTTCCAGGAGGGACAGATAAACTCAGTTTTAGAAATATCATTCTCTTCTAGCGGGGAAGATGGGAGGTAGCAGAGCATGAAGAATCATTGATAGGGCTGGTTTCCACTGGCCACTAAATTTCAGGCCAAATTACTTTTAACTATTTATTTGGGGGAAAAAACCAAACATACAAACCCTACTTTTAGGCAGCAGATTTTGTAGATAAATGGACTAAGGTAGAGTTTGAATATTTTTGTCACACTGTAGCATATGACTTATTTCCAACCTTGGTTAACTCTACACACAGTTCCTGTTTCTCAGGAGCTGTAAGGAAACTGTTCTTTTGTTCTGAAAAACCACTGAACCATAAAAAAGAGATACTAAAATAAGGACATTTTAAAAACCCTAGCAGTTTTTTCTTCTTGTGCACAGATCTATAACAATTATATTTGTAGGTGAAACAAGAAAAATATTAGGTAATGTTGATAGTGTAAAGGGATAAACTCAATTTCATTTCACTGCTTACTGCCATACTGTTACAACATAAGAAGTTAGCATTTTTTTCAAAATTCTATGGTGTTTCTGAATTTTCTTCACCAACTGGTAGAATTTAGTAATGTTTCCAAAGGAGCATGAGTAAAATCTTTTACTGTACAACATAAATATTTTGATCTTTCCATTGCAGTCCTGTAATTTCATTGTTTGGAAATTCTTGTATAAATCCAGTTACTTTTTTATGTAAGTCAATAAACAAGATTCTTAGTGGTTCTCGTCTGACCTGTAACATCTATTGAAACCATTTTTAATTCATCTTGGTAAAAGATAATGGACAACTGGAAGATTTGTGCATTTTGGCAATTTACTTGGAACTGCTTGAATTTCAGAGTTAAACGTTCTTGCCAAAAGTATTACATTTAATTTATTTTCAATATGTACATATACTAGTATCCATGAAAAAACCTTGTTTTACATACTTATAATTTCAAATAAATATTGTATGATTCAATTATGTAAGTGTTATAACAATACTTAAAAATGTTTCTTTGCATGCTAGGAATCAGTCAAATGTGAGAAGAATGCACACTGCTGTGAAGCTTAATGGAGTAGTGCTTAATAAATCGCAGCATGCTCAGCTGGTCCTCCTGAATATGCCTGGACCTCCTAAAAACAGAAAAGGGGATGAAAACTGTATCCTCTACTGTATTGATTCCGTATTTCTTGAAATTGCGAATTACATTCTTTCTGATTCTGCCATTACCTGTTGGGATAACCATTACTAAGTAGGGTAAGCATAAGTCTGCCTATAAGAAAATGACATAAAGAGAGTTAAAAAGTAAAAGATAAAAAAATCTTGATTGGGGGGGTGGTTTATTGATATAAAGGATTTCCTTAACTTTGAAGTAATTTAAAAATTTCCTATTCTTATCTTTTTTTTGTAGATGAGTAGGGCAAAACTAGGAATGTCCCCCAAGTTAGGCTTAACTTCCACTTGAATAACCAGATAACAGGACAGTAAAGGGGGACACAGAAATACTCTGATGAAATTGTTGAACTTTATTTTTTCATTATATGTCAGACTTTTTGAGAAGTCACTAGATATTTTATTTTTCTTCTGAGTAAATTCCTTGACCAAATGATATTTCAGACATGGAATTTCTGGAAGTTTTGACAGAAGGTCTAGATAGAGTTCTCCTAGTCCGAGGCAGTGGACGTGAAGTGATCACCATTTATTCTTAATCTGTTTGCATGTGTTTTTCAAACACAACAGATTCCCCACCATAAGAAAACAAAGTTTTTTGCCATAATTTGAGCAGCTTCGGTGTCTTCTAGTGCATTGAAAATTAGCTTCAAGCTGAATCTTCTGATGATGCGGGTTTTTTTCCCTAGGAAGATGTTCTATTTAAATAACATTTTAAGCAGATTTATGTAGAAAAGTAATAAATGGTGAATTAATAAATGGTGAATGGCTTAGGATATTTATATGTAGCATATTCTGACACTTCTTAAGCTGTGGTAAAACCAAAAAAAATTGGTTATGCAATCGTGTTTTTAAAGATATATAAATGTCAGTGACTTTTGATTATTTTAATTTTGCTCTGCATCTAAATAAAAGGGAAGGGTTTTAGAAAAGGTTGTCTTTTTTTCTTACCAAAATGCTACTATGTTGCTTCTTTTGGAATTAGTTGTGGTTCAGGAACCTTCCTGCAGAGATGTATACAGCCAGTCAAATTAGTTTATGAAGTGCATTAAGTGTTTCCTAGAAGTTCGTTATTTGCCATACCTGTTAAAAATAACATTTCTGTATTTAAAATACGTAGGTAGCTGAAACCTCCAGATAATAGTAAACAGATAAGCTGTGTGAGTTCTTTTCTATGAGGTACTGGCAGTTACCATTATTTTGCATGATTATAGCAATAATGAAACATGAGAGCATCCAACTTGTAGGAAGGCTATGGTTCACAAACTCCACCTGGTTCCAAACATAATTCAACTGTTGATAAACCACAACAAGATGGTTAATGAAATGCAGTCTCTTGTTTTCAAATATTTATATTTTGAAAATGTTGTATGTATGTGCTGCTGTTTGAAATAAAATCTGCTTTTCTGAACTGAATGAACTCCTAAATGTTTTTCATTTGAAATTGTTGAGTAGTTTAGTTTAGATGCTCAATAGAAACCTTTTGCTTCTGGTACAATTCTGTTCCTTTTTAGGCAGTCTTTAGTTTTGTAAATGTCGTTTAAGACCTAAAGTATATCAGAAGATTGTTCTGCTCTAAAAAGAATAGGTCTGTTTAAACATATAAGCCACTATTTTATCTATTTTATTTTTTCTTTTTTAAAATTCCTTTATAATACAATCAAGATGTCTGTTGCTCAGACTAGAACAAGAGTGATGCAGTGCCCAAGTCCCAGGCTGGGCTCAAGGCCAGTGTTTTTATCATAACACTCAGGTGATGTAAGACAAAGCCTGTCCCTGTAGTTTGATGCACAGGAGCAGAGGGAATAAAAAGGTAATCAGGCAGCCCAGTGAACACCTGATGAGTCAAAAGCACTGCTGGGATACTTCAAAAGGCAATTGGAAAGGCATGCTGCACACCAGAATGTCCCTGTATACCACTCGGTCTGACTGTAGCTCTATGCCTTTGGTTAGGAATAGGTTTATGCATAGGCACTCAGAGGTACCTTGGGGGCACACCAAAAACACTCCTTGGTTTCTTAGGTACAATGAAAGGCACATGGAGGTCCTGTGGACAGATCAGGAGGCATGTGAAGGTTCTGGATTTGCACAGTATATCAGTTGAATTAAAAAACATTCTCAGGCCAGTGAGGAGAAGAAAAACAGCAGCAGATGCCCCTACTGCACTCCAGATGGTTCTAAGCTTTTCATGGGACATATTAAAAGGCACTCCTTGGGCTGTGGTGCAGGGCCATCAGCAGGCATTTATAGAACTGATATGTGGGGTTGTGGGTCGGAGACAGAAACATGACACAACACCAGTGGTCATCAGCAAACAGCAATGGGTTTAATATGTCTGCCCCTTTTATAGGGACTTTGGATTTCCCAGGCTCAGATAGTTGATTGGATGACCTGTCTCTGCCCAGTGGTGTATCAGCATCTAAGCTAAAATAGGGTTGGCTGAGATCTTTGCTTGGGTTTGAATCCAACCTATCTGTGCCTTATCCAGGGACTTGTTTTCTTCTAGGTTGGTTGAGTTTAGGGGGCAGCTTCAGATCAGCTGCAATGCGACAACAGATGACTGCAGATAGCTTGTAGTAAAAGGAATTATAAAAATTTAGTTTAGAGAAAGGCTTTCAGAGGCATCTGGAACCTACCAAAAGCTCTGTGAGTTCCCTTAGATGCAAGGCAAGACTGACAGAGGTTTCTGTGGGCATACCAGAAGGCAATTGAGAAGCTTGTGGAAGTGGTCAAGAACAAACCTTCAAGCTGGAAAGTACAAAACATTAACTTAGACAGGAAGTTTTTGAAGATTGAACTTCAGAAGAAGATAGGCTTCTGAGACTCTTATATGGGCTTGTGTGTTACAGGGAGCATCCGTGCTGTGATGGAGGAGGACATGCAAACACTTACGTCTGGCTTCATTTTTTTGAGATTTGCTTGTAAGTTCACAGTATTAAGAATTACAGGCTATGAGTTATCAAACACTATGATTTAAAGTGGTGGATAGGTGGGATAGTCACATGCAAGACTAGTCAGGGCAAAATGCCATTGAGGCCTTTTTTCTGGTGATAGTTTGTTATATTTCCTAATGATCTCATAAGACAGAGCTACAGGACAATTTTGCCCCATTCTCACCTGCAAATCTGTCAATCGGTTCTGGACTCGTCAACATGTTCTGGGGTGCGATATGGTTTGACGTTTTTGGCAGGGACCCACTTAATTCCAGCACTTGTAGAGACAGAAGCCTACCCTTTGTCCCAGGTTATTAATCGAAAAGGACCTTCAATTTGTCTAGATTCAGGGTTTCTAATTAAGACAGGAGGATTTTCTTTCAGTTTTGCCTGTGTGTTATTTGAAAAGTGCCTAAAGATTGGTGGATCAGGTTGTGCACCTGAACTGTTTAGAAAATTAAAAACATACATAGCCTTGTTCAGCCTCATCTGTGGTGTGACCTCAACTCTTTAAATATGTCAAGAAGTGAGGTAAGAATCCATTAACTTATGGCAGTAAACATATATCATGGATACTATCGGCAATGATGAGAGAGACAGGGAGTCTGTGAGATGGTGAAAATAATCCAAATTTATTGTGGGCTACATTGCTTATATAACTATTTTAGGAAGACTAGTAATGTTTTAGTACAATGCTTGGGTTAATCATCACATAAACAAACATACATTTTACAACATCTCTTGCTTGCAGAAGTCTTGATGTCATTTTCTTTTCCAATAAGTGAGTCTGATTTAATCTTACTGCAATCTTCAAAGCTGTTTGTTCTTGCCAAGGCATCTTGATTTTCAAATCTCTTATGCTAACCAGGCCCAAAGTCCATCATTTGTCTTATGTGTCCCAATATCTCCCTCTTCTCTTTTCAACCAAAAACACTCCTTTAATGGCCTTATTAATAAATCTCTGCATACATTGAAACAAGCAAGTTATCATGATTAATACAATTATTATCAAAAATCATCATATACCCATCTTAAAAAGAATCTTTTAGCTAAAAACCTTAGCCACTAAAGGCTCAGGCTTGATCTTTAAAAACATTTCTGAAGACAGCCGCATGGGGAGCATTACTGGATTTAGAAAGTCTACCAGAAGTATAATTGCACCAAAAGTTTTGATTCTTATATCCAAGGTGATAAGGAGAAACATGCCAAGCTTTAGAATCTTTTCTTCCTGTGTATTTAAAATTAACACAAAAATCCAATTTCACAGAACCCAGGGGCTCTAATTCTTGGGGTTCTGAGGGTATTTCAGGAGGGTAAGGGGTCAATTTTGATTTGATTTGATTTCAAAATTGTTAGTGTAAATATTAGTGTACAGTTCTGGAGGAGCTATATTCCACCCTAATTTTTTTGGTTTTTAATAATGTGTGTTTCTCATTATGAACATGAAGGCAACATAAAAGCAAAACAATAAAAAACAGTAAACTTGTACTAAGTAAAAATAAATTAGATAATATATACAATTAGTAGTACATGAAAAATAGAATGGTGATTTAAAACAATGCATTATCAATTTCTTAAATATTGTACTGTTACTTAGAGTTTGTAGTAATTGGCAAGCTTCCTTTTAAAGTGAGAGCTTGGAAAACCATTACTGGCTAAGATTCCCAAGTTCACTTCAAAAGGAAGTTTAGCTATTATAGGTCTAAATTTGGCAAGTCAAAATTACTTGCGTATAGTTTTGGTGTAGAAAACACTTGGGTTTATTGGTATACTTCCCTACAAGTAAGGTCAGGACTTGGCCAGGGTCCAGGGTTTAACTGGAAGAGTCTTTTTAATATCTTTTAAAAACCTCTAAGTAATAGTAGTTAGAAAATTTCTTTAAAATAATACATGTCTTATAAATAGCTATATAACAGTATGTGGAAATTTGTAAATCAGCTGCCTTTGTCATTTATCTTTAACTAAATAGTAGTAAAAAAAGGCATTAAACAGCTTACAACTGATAACAGTCATAATATGAAATTGTTACTCATTCTTTAGTACTACTTATAAACAATAAAATAGAAAAACTTTTTCTTATTTCTATAACAAAATAGCTGTATCTCGCAATTTAAATGAGCAAATTCTGACAAAATTAATTTAGGCTTTACAGCATTCACTTGTATAGCAAGCGGACAAACCTGTGAGTGGTGCGAACAGTGTCGAAACTTGGGGGGAGGTTCCTTGCCTGGCCCCTGCTGTAGGGCAGGGGCAGTGGACAGGAGGATGGCTCTGGCCATCTGGTACTTGGCCAGGTGATCATTAGCCACAAACTGGTGACGGTAACTGCTTCTGAAGTGTATGTTCTCCTTTCAGATTGGTGAAGTCATGTTCACATTATTGCCTGAGAAATTTGTCTATGTACTAGCAGCAGTAGTATGCAAAGAAACTTCCTTAATATTTATCTTTTTGTGTCTATTTATTATTTTTTTTTACCAGTGACTGTGGCAGTTACTTTTTGCCATCACAATGTTAAGGGGTTTGTTCTAGAAACGTGTACACTCTATAAAAAGTCTCTTGGGTTTTTTTACAGAGCTTGTGAACAAATGCATTTGTAATGAAGAATGATTAAAATATTGTTGGAACATTTCTCAGATTTGATGACTTTGTCAGTATCCTTTAATGGAAGCAGTTAAGGTCATCCACTTTATGCTTTCGCTCAAGCCGTTAACTGCCTTTGAGATATTTGAGTTCATTAGCTAGAACCATTTTCTGTGGTTTAGTTGTAAGAGGAATGAGGGATTTGTCTTTACAAACAAGCTGTGGGTCTGCTGGTAGATAAAACTAGTGCTGAGAGATAAAAGAAACATTGGGAGGGATTCCACTGATTGATGAATGGAAGAAGATATTTGCTTTTACAAATTAACTTTAGGCTTGCTGATAAATGAAATTGGACATTGAAAGATGAAAGAAACTATGGAGGAAAACCCTGCATCCCATAAGAATTAAAAATAAAAAGGGAGGATTATACATGAAGCGATAAATAAACTCCACAATCAGATATAGTTATGAAGTGGGTATGTATGTCAGTGCCCGCCACAAGCAAGATAGCTCTGATGAAAACTTGTGCCCCAAGCTTTAGTCTGACGCACATCTTTATTCACAAAGGTATTCCATATGCAATACATTGCACAACTTTTCCATGCATATTCAACCTCTGGCCTTGCCTGTTCTTGCCTTGCATGGTAATCAGATCCACGCCCTTCCAGGCATGCGTTGTTTGTTGTGGTGGTTGCACAGGGGTCTCTGGTGGTCTCTCTGAGGCTGAAGATTGTGGTCTTCCTCATGACCGAACTTTTGAACTTTTCTCATTTGCACATGCGCTTTTGGTCCCTTGGTGCTTATCTGAGTACGTCTGTCGGCATTGATTAGCTTGGAGGCAGAGGAGTCCCTTTATCTGGGCTCTTTTGCATCTCTTGGTCTTCTCTGGTATTGTTCTTTATG